AAGCTTCACATACTAGTAGCAAATGAACTCAGTGAAGTAGCAATACTTGAGAATGCTAGAAATTTTTTAGAGAACTATGAATGAAACATTTGTGCTTTTTGTAAATGTTTATTTTGCTTTGTAACTGTGGAAACTGGATCTAATGCTTTTTTTTACCATAACATTATGTTGCTGTTGTTTAGGGGGAATGAGTATTGTTGTCATTTTCCCACAAATGTTGAGCAATGTAGACTTTCACGGCAATGGAACTTAATTTCCTTTCCATTTATTTGGCCTTTTTTTTTATTTCAACCTCTTTTTATGTTAATGACAAACACATATACCAATTGAGTAGGGTTATTTAAAACATAAAGCAATTGACACAGAGAATATTGCCAGCAAAATGCAACATTTCCTTTCCATTCAATCTGAATTGATTCAACACTTACACTGCAAAATCAAAACACTAGCACACAAACAACATCACACTGTCACACTCTAATGACAGTTACAAAAAGACCTAAAATTTGGTGCTACAATACCAACCGCAATACAAAAAAAAAAAAAAAAAAAAAAAAAAAAAAAAAAAAAAAAAAAAAAAAAAAAAAAAAAAAAAAAAAAAAAAGACAAATCCTACACCAAGTTCCCCTAAACACTAAAAAAAAAAAAAAAAAAAAAAAAAAAAAAAAAAAAAGACAAATCCTACAACTAAGTTCCCCTAAACACTTTCCTAATAGTTAGAACAACAAAAACAACACAAACCCTAGCAACCACCTTCCACCAAATCGCATTAGACTTATTCTTCATGTCTTCACTTTCTTTGATTCTTTCCAGCAATCCCATTACAATGTGCTTCACATGATCTGGCATTGGTGGGTCATGCCATTGAAAGAAATTGCATTCACCATGCATCTACAATCAACAAAGCACAATAATGTTAAATCAAATTTAAAGAAAACTAAACAAATATATCAAATTTAACAAATCCTAAATTTCCAACTTCCATAAAATCGTCTACCCAGGTTCACATATGTCCAAGACACCTTCAACACTACTGCTTCACCATAATAGCAATTAGGCATAATATAGTCAGCTGGTATGTCCATTCTTCTCCAAATAGTGTATAATTCCTTCTGTGATCAATCAGAAGAGAGACTTCCAAGATAGAGAAAATAAATTCCTCTTCGCCTCAATTTATTGAAAGGGACAGAGAGAAAGAAGAGTGAAATTGCATAAATGGGAAAACAAAACCCTAATCAGTGAATCTAATAAAAGAGGGAAAAGGGAAATTAGTTGCAAAATAGGAGGAAAGTTTTTTTTTCCATCAAGCCATGATGGACAAGATATTTACACATTGGGTTATTTCTACTACATTAATGCTCATCTCGGCTAAGTGGAAATTGACGCGCTTCTGCCAGCATGGAAAGGTACAATATTGGTGTAAAAAAAAAAAAAAAGACTTGAGGTGCATAACTAGTTACCAAAAAGTTGGAGGTGCCGTTGGGTTAATTTGTTAATGTTCGGGTGCAATTTTATGTATTTGGCAAAAGTATAATATACAGTAAAAAACAACTTACTAAATGGGCAGCTTTTAACTAGTATATTATTAATGCACAACATGTATTTCGTAAAGTTCAGTTACATACTAAACTTTGATAATTTACTGGCAAAAAATGTTTGATTTTGTAGAAATTTAATGGCACATGGTCATTTAAATTAAAAACCTTTTAAAGGTATGAAATGCCGATATTTGATTTATTTCTTTTTAAATAACAAGTCACGTACTCATAATTTTTAAAAAAATATATTGTAATCTATTTTACATTGCTTTAATTTGAATAATTTGCTTATGTATTTTTGATTAAATAATAAAAGGTAAAATTATACTTTTGAAATTCTCAAATAATGAATTGAAATATTAATTAGCATAATTATTTATTTTAAGCAAATTATTGTAATTAACATGATATATTTAGTGTTTTTTTTCTCTTTGAAATTCGCATATATTCAAATTAGATGGGGTATAAGAATATTTACTTTTATTGAAATAAGTTTTAGTGAATTGAAATTAATATCTTAATTCTATTTGTTACTCTAACTATATTGTTTAATTAATATTTACTTTTATAACTCCTTTTTTATAGAATAAAAACTATTTAATAGAAAACTTAATATTTGTTAAATGCAAAAAATATTAGTTATAATGAAATCTTCATTATATTTGTCAGTTTATAATTCTATTATTTAATAAAAAATAATTTTTATTGAATAAAAAAATTAATGATAATGAAAAATAAAAATGTCACCGCATCACTTTCATATTCTAACATGTTGCTACAAAATCATTTATCTCTTATAAATGATATATTTATATAGATAGATAAATAGTTATAGATATAGATCTTTTCATTAAAAAAAAAAAGCTATATCAATATGTAATTGTGTTCAGTTCATATTAAAACAATGATGTTGTTTACAAACTTTTTCCTTTCTAGTTTATGTTGAAATTAGAATTGATGTAGTTAAAAAGTTTTCCTTTTTTATTTTATATAAGAGCGCCAAAAATATAAGTTGGGATACTATATTAAATGTTAGTTTTTAAAACTTAATTTTAAAAAACTTCAGTTTGACTTTGAGATTAAATTAGTCATTTATGATATATTTTTACTATTGTGCCTTTTTTATTGGTATTTGGTAGACATTTATTTTAGTGTTTTAATATGTTATTGTATTTTTACTATTGTGCCTTTTTTATTGGTATTTGGTAGACATTTATTTTAGTGTTTTAATATGTTATTGTTTCCTTCTGTGTTAATTTCTTTTTTTTCACGTTATTTTCTCTTTTTTTTTTTAGCATATTAATATTTTTTCTACTACCGGCTTTTCAGCCTTCATTATTTTATAATGGTTCTTTCTCCTTTTGCTACCATTCATTAATTTCTTATCGTTCTTTCTCCTTTTGTTGTCATTCTTTTCATTATTGATATTATTCCACGGTTTTATTTTTTGCTACCATCCATTAATTTCTTATCGTTCTTTCTCCTTTTGCTGTCGTTCTTCTCATTATTGATGTTATTCCACGGTTTTATTTTTTATTCATAATATATGTTGATTTCTTTTTTTGATCTGTTACTTATTGTTAAAAATATCTCTATCAGTTTTTTATACAATCAATAAATATTGTAAAGATAAGGTAAGACTCTTGATTCTATTAGAATTGCTCCATACATTATATATAAATACATCGTATTTACTTATTTGGTCCAATGTGTTAATTAGTATACATATATCTGTTTTGTATTTAATTAATTTTACAGATACAATGTATATACGGTGTATATATATATATATATATATACAATGTATATACGGTGTATATATATATATATATATATATATATGCACTGTATACACTATGTATATCGTATTTACCATCGATGTTGTTGCAATCGCCTGTTATTGGTTGCCGTTACCGATAAATATCGCCCTGGTTAAATCACATAAGCTATATAAGGATTTACTCTTACATATTTCATATTTTCTTGTAGCCCCTTTTTTATTATTTCGTTTTTTTAGTATTTCTTTCTTTAGTGTTTCCAGCATTTTCTTTTTATTTTTTAGTGTTTTCCGTTTCTCTTACAATATCAGGTTTTTTTTGACTGAATTTATTATTATCTTAACAAATATTCTTTTGTTATATCTTATTAAAATTGAAACTTCATAAGTGACATTTGTTAAATTGTCCCGTATAAGTTTATGCTAAATATATCACCGAGCTTACTTTATGGATTCATAATTATTAACAAATACCAACACTATAATTGAATAATAATCTAATTTGCCAAAAAAAAAATTATTAACAAATACCAACAACTGCAAATTTGTCACCCTTCCCTGTCATGATTTGTGATAACAAAACCTTGTTAAGAAGTCCAAATATCGAACTCTTAAATCTGCTTTGATGGATGCTGCATCTCCATGTGAGCCACTAAACAAGGTTAAGTTGACTGCTGCAACATCCCAACCAACTCTTATTCTATTCTGCCAAGCTCCCAAAACAACAAACGGTGATTTACGAAACAGACCAAGCGACCATCAAAGCTCGTCCTAATTCCGCCAAAAACTAGACCACTTGAAGATGGATAATAACTACTAAAAAACAGTTCAATATTATAACATTTAGAAAAATAAAATTAAAAAAAAAAAAAAAAAAAAAAAAAAAAAAAAAAAAAAGAAAGAAAAGAACACCCAAGTGTTATAAAGTGTAAGGCTTATGGCCTAATTTGGATAATGCTAAGGGCATGAAAGTCTTTTTGTTACATTTTAACGTAAAAAACAGCTGAAAAAATGCACAGAAGGGCATGAAAGTCCTTTTATTACATTTTAACGTAAAAAACAGCTGAAAAATTCACAGAAGGACTATGTAATCTAAAGTATCAAATTACGAGAACTAATTAAATAATTGTCAAAACTGAAAGACAAAATAATAATTCCATTTTTTAAAATTTTCATTAGATTATTCAAATTACTATTTACTCGAAAAAGTTAATTAATGGCAAGTAAAATTTATATAAAAATTGTTATAGGTTATTTCTAAATTAAAAAATTTTGCTTAATAGTTAAAATTACAATAGTACCAAAATAAATTTTTTTTAGATTTAATAATTTTATAATGAAAAATGGTGAAAAATAAAAATTCTCAACAAAATATAAAAAAGATGCAAAAGGCAACAAAAGCACAAAAATTTAATATACAAAATACAACATATTTAAAAGTTCTAAAAGTTCTAAGTTTATTTTATTAAAAATATTTTCAATAAAAAAAATTATATTAATAAAATAAACTCACAGCAATTAAAAAAATTAATAGCGAACTCGCAGGAAGCGCGGGTGACTTAGCTCGTCTCGACTAAATCTCAGCTCCAGTTAGTATATTTTCAAATGTAATCAAATCACTTATACTTCACTTACGCATTCACATATATCAAAATGCAATAAACAAATAAAAAAACGCAAAGAGATTGTATTAGGAAAAAGACATTATTATTATAGCGGCAAGTCTATCAACTAGCTTTTCCAGAAATATAAATATGTTCCGTGTGTCCAGTACTAAAAGCCAATCTATGCTACACAGGAGACTAAACATTAACCGATGCCCATTGATTAACCTCAAGGAATTTCCACAGGAATCTCTTGATCGCCCCACCAAACTGGCAATAATGTGTCAGCAAAATCCCATGTTAACATATCTACGTACTTAATGTTACCTTAGAGCAGAGCCACCCACCCCAGCAACTTACATTCGAGAGATCAAGAGGGGTACAGACACTGATGCCTCCTCACCCATGACTGGCTGGAATAAATCCAACTCCCCATAGCGCTCGAGAACACGCATCCTGCAACCTTCTGCAGCCATAAGTCCAGTAGCAAATGCACCATGCACTGACCCTGGGTATCTCGTGCTTGTTGCCTCTCCTGCAAAGAATAGGTTATCCACTGGGATCCTTAGCCTTTCATACAGATCATGGGATTTTCCTACTGTATCGTAGCTATAGGAACCAAGTGAGTTGGTATCTGAGCCCCACCGAGAAACAAGATACTGAATCTGCACAAAGAAAAATATGAATTTAGAACTTTTAGATTCCACAGACAGCACTAGTAATTATGCACTACAGAGATTCAAAAATTCTAAGTTGAACAGGGACCGGGGGGCAAAGTAGAACTGCTAGTACATAGAAATGATATTACCGGAGCAGAAGCTTCAGGTAGGATCTTCTTGAGTTGCATGAAAGCAAAATTGGCAGCAGCTTCATCAGACATTTTCTCAATATCTTTGGCCAGCTGTCCAGCAGGCATGTAAACAAGAACAGAATGACCAGTGGCCTTGTGAAGATTCAGGAAGTAGCTGCAGCCATAAGATGTCTCTGCAACCACTCCCAAGAACTCTACATTTGGCCAAAACACCTTGTCAAAGTGCATCGCAATCTTATTCTCAATTCCCACTCCCAGCTCATCAATAGCTTCTTCCTTCCAATCTGGAAGTTTAGGCTCAAAAACCATGGTCTTGGATTTCAGCACTCCAAGAGGAATGGCAACAATAGCAGCATCTGCTATGAATGTCCTCCCATTTTCAGTAGTTACTTTCACACCGTTATAACGCCTGTCAATTTTTGTTACCCTAGAAAATCACAGGGATGGATTAGAATTGCATAAAAGTGTTTATACATACATATGAATATTCACTGCAAAAACACATTTGTTGATAGAGGACATAAGCAAATTACAATTAAAATGAATCGTGACTAATAGATATCATTGACTAGTACCTATGGCCCAAGCGGATATCAAGTCCTTTGGCAAGAGTGTTTACAACAGGAAGGTAGCCTCTCACCATAAGTCCATGCCCACCAGGAAGCAGCTCTTCCTGCCAAAAAAGGTGAAACAATGTCAGGGTGTTAACACACACAAGCTAGCAAAAATAGATTACTTTCAACCTCATTACAAACTGAGACAATATCTAAATAAAAGCAAGATGAATTCCTGGAAAGATACATCAATTAAGAGGTAGTTCATAGCAGCGATCTAAAATAAAGTTATTCAATCCAAGATATTATGCACTTCAAAGTGCCATCTAGCAATTTCGAGAAACACTTTTTAAGTGTATATTTAACATAATATAGTGCCAACATGCATTGAAGAACTTGAACATCTTAATGTAAGTTCTTGCATAATCTAACTCAACAAAGAAGGTAGTATGCTTATATCAACTAGATATAACTTTCAATATTTGACCTCCAGTTTCAAAAAAATAATCTCACCCAATCATTTAATTGGTTTACTAATGTTTAGGGAATAAGACAAAAATACCGAAGTTCTCATCCATTATGTTGAGTTCAAAAAAAAAAAAAAAAAAAAGTTTCAAAAAAAAAAAAATAAAAGAAAAAGAAGTAATATTGATGAAAAAAAAAAAAAAAAAAAGAAAAAGAAGTAATATTGATGAAGCTACTGCGAAGGCTATAAACTTAGAAATGGAGAACAAATTGAGAAAGTAGGGTGGGAAGGAAAAATGAAGTTGTTCTGTCTTTAACAGTTAAAGTTCTGATTAAGAAGACAGTTGGAGATTTTGAAAATTGAAAAAACGAAGCAGCTGGCTAGCAGCATTTTTGCATAGTTAATGCAAATAATGCAAAGCCACAAACCAAGATGTTAACCGTTCATCTCAACCAAATGTATAATTTATGATCCACCAATAATCTTTAATACATATAAATGTAGAGAGGAACATTAGGACAAATTAGAGAAAATGTTTGTAATAAATAATAATTTATGAAGGGAAGCTCAGTGCACAAAGCTGCTGCTATATGCACAGGTCAGTGAAGGGTCAGACCATTTTATATTTACTAAAAAAATATTAACTATGAACTTTTTTTAACAATTGAATTTATTTATATTACCATAAATAAATTTGAATAATTATTTTATTTTTAGTTTTCCTGTTCAATTTCGTTGGACACTAGTTAATATAAATTACTCTTTCCATTTAATTTCATTTGATAGTTATAAATGTAGGGATATACATATTTTCAATATTATATTGCATAGAAACGAGTATATTCAAACAAAAAAAAAAAAAATCATTAGATATCGTTCATGAAAAATCACTGGGTAAGCATATACTATTATACTAAAATAAAATTTCCTTAGTATTATTGAAAAGGTTTCATTGAATATCAATCCATTTTTGCATGGCGACTATACTTTTACTGAAAACATATATATCAAAAAAAGACTAGTGAATAAAAAAGTTAAGAATTAAAGATATCAATAAATTTTCATGATCAAAATCAAACAAAAATCTTTCAAATAATAAAAAAGTTCTGTAAAGTTAAACAAAAGTGATCAGTGAAATTGTAAATATAGTAGAAACTATTCAAATAAACATCAATGTTTTGATATCTTTTTGTGGTATTCAGCAATGCCTACTATCTGCCACACTGTACTACAACATATATTGCAAGCCACAAACAAAATGTATCAGCAAATCTAAATGCCATCATTACAAAAATGTGTCAATAGTGTATGAGGCTCTCCCCTTTGCATATTTACTAAATAAGATTTGAAGTTAATTTTAAATTTCAGAGAAAAACATTGCTGTTAGCATTATTTTAATATTCAAACAACTTACACCTGATATTTTTTTTATTTGTGAATCTATTTTGATGATCCAGTGTAGACCTTGATTTACAATAACTTAAATTGTTGATATGCAACAACTCACCTGATCCCAACTCTTAAGCGATATGGTCTCAGCATCTGCAGCAAACCAGCCTTCCATTCTACACAAGTACCATTGAAGAACTTTATGTGCAAGCCCCTCCAACCTGCATTTAAAAACAATTTCATAAGGATCGTGTATCCAAAGTCATAACTAGCATGAAATACAATCAACATCTATTTTATTATCAAACCTTAAATCTGGTCTTCGTTCAAAAACAATTGAGAAAGCACTGAGTATGGACATGTCTTCTTTATGCTCGAGTCTTACTTTCTCTGTCTGCATTCAAAACATGAACAACTTAGTATGATGGCAAAAAACAAACAAAGAAGTCATGTTTCCAAATGGGAAAATAGGAAACAAATAAGATATTAAAGAAAAAGTTGAATTCATCTTCCACTAGCACAATCTCTCTATCCATGCAAGAAAGAGACCAACCAAAAAGAGAGAAAGGACAAAAGTAGAAGAAATTCAAGAAAAGGTTCCAGTAAGAAATTATGGAAAATAGAAGACAATAAAATTAGAAATGCCAAAAACCAAAAATTTATAAGAGAATAAAAGCATACGTGCCTCTTTTAAGATGCTTTCAAATGTTTCGCCAACCTTAGTGACCAATCCTTGAGGAACCTGTTTCCCATCCATATCAAAGAGTGCATAGCTGCAGAAACATAATACATTATCAATGGCACATCAGCAAATGCCACCCACAGCTTTGATATATTATATTAAATTAAATTAAAATCAATGCTGATCACTAAAACATCATAACAATTGTTTATTTTATCAAACTTGTAAAAATTGTAGCCCATGAAAGCTAACATGGAGTCAACCAGTTTAATGAATTGAATATGTAAGGGCTACCTTCCAGAAAACAAATTTTAAGAATCTTGGAAATAGAAACTCGATGTTCAAATGTAAAGAACTTCAAATAGAAAATTAGGAATTGGATCAACTTATTAATTGTATGCTCTAGCTTTTGGGGAAGTAACTTAAGATTTTTGAATTATTTTTGAATTTAGGATAGAAACTCCAATTGGAAGACACAAATCCATTTTTCCCTTTCTCTATCAGCACTATAAGCTAAAGTTTGAATCTCAACAATAGCACAACTTATTAATAGTATATTTTTGTTCCCTGTTACTGTATATCAGTAATTTATTTATGTTATATGCAGAGCACGGGGTATGTCTTCTGCACAAGTGAGTATAGTATAGGCGAGATTCAATGAGCCCCGAGTTTTGGGTTTCTACAGAAAACACTATAAATAATTTTTGTACCTCACCTAACCAATTTCAACTTTTTTCTAACTACTTCTAGTAACAATTTTTCACATCTTAATTATCAATTTATTTTACATCTCCATTGCCCTAATAATTAAAAGTTTTTCTATTTTTTGTTTGTAATTATTCCACCACTATGTAAACACGAAACTGTTTTTCAACCAAACATGCTTTTGTGTATTCACTCTCCTATGCCCTCCTTTACCCTCCATCAATCTCTCTGAAATCCCTTAATGAATAGATAATTTTCAATAACAGTATTTTGGATTTCATTAATGCCATTAACTCTAGTTTGTTTTGTTCGTTGTTCTTCAGCCAACTTTAAGTCAAATCTCCCAATTGGCTTTTGGTCTACATCTGCACCATTTTATTTGGATTTGTGTCTTCAGCTTTCTCATATTTAAAAAAATAAAAAAATAAATATGAAATTTTCATAGTTCTAAATATTTTGTGTCTTGTAAATCAAAACTTGTAATATTTTTCAAATAATTTTCAATATTGCAACAAAACAATAGAGTTACTTGGAAAATGTTTTCAAAAGATAAATTATTTTCCAGATATAAACAGGGCCTTCATGATCCTCAATTTTGCTTGTAAGGGAGGAGCCTCAGCATTCTAGGGCTTGTTTTATGTCTCCTTTTCATCTGGCCTTAGTTTATAATCAAGGAGTTGCTCAGAGTCTAAGTCTCTTGTATTTAGAAATCTAAGTCCAAGAAGAGGATTAGGACTTCTAGCACAGGTGGATTGGACAATTAGTTCCAATGATTGCAGAATACTTCATTATTTATAGAACATATGTTTTTATTTCTTCAATGTTTTATTTCTATCTCACGTTAGAAATTAAATTTTTAAGACAACTTTCATACAAGCAAGTTATTAAAAAACAATAATAGAACATTGATTTACCTTTCAAGATCGTGGTCATACAACACAGAATTATCACCACTAGTTCGGTATAAGGGTAGTCCCAGCCTCCCAATCAATGGGGCCAAGGGATTCTCCTTGCAGACACCATGCAACCTGAAATATGGTCATTGAGATACAACTTCTAAAGGGAAAGAAAAAGAAAAAAAAAAAAAAAAAAAAAAAAAAAGGTCCCATTGAAGATCAATACTTCTAAAGGGAAAGAAAGAAAAAAAAAAAAAAAAAAAAAAAAAGAACCTTAAAAATAGGTTTACAAAAAAAAAAAAAAAAAAAAAAAAAAAAAAAAAAAAGAACCTTAAAAAATAGGTTTACCATGATGCACCCAGGTCAACAGGAAAACCAAATGAGAAATCTGTATGCACCCGACCACCAAGTCTGTCGCGAGATTCCAACAAAACAACCTGACAGAAGAAAAATATCATATAAGAAATGCACACATATATATGGGTACCTCAATTATGCATTTTTTTCCATTTTTCTAAAAATCCTACGACACGTGCAAAAGACCAAAGTACAGCATGATGATTACATGCTTTATCGGGAAAGGAAATAGGGCGTACCAAGTACGCATAAAGGTGATAAAACCCAAACAAAACCAAACTATAATTAATGGTACACTAGTTAAAGTTGCAAACAGCCAAAACTAGCTCCTGAAATTCCAGCCAGCACAAATTAGCTGGCTCGAGGCATATATGTCAACTAAAGAGGTGACCAGAGCTAACGTACAATCTAAAATTCACATGTTACAGGTCAGAGAACAACAGATACGAGCAAGTTTAGTTTACTACTATCATGCTAGTGTTAGATTGCTTATTCACTATCATACAGCAAGCTAATTAATGTAAAATATCCTAGCTCTTTAGCCATACCTGAAATGAAGCATCGTGAAGAGCACGAGCTGCTGAAATTCCCGCAATACCACCACCTATCACTATAACTGATGGCGAGGATGCCTGCCTCCTCCCATCATCTGAATAACAAGGAGCTGGAACACAAATTTATACACATCAGTTGACAAATCATTGCTATTACGACAATATCTACTTGGAATTCTAGCCACTTATTTTGACCCAGTCAAACCAAGATTCTTAATTTTCTTCCTTTCTAGAAGTATCCATCACAGTCTCTAAATCCTAATAGATGGATATATAAAAATAAATAAATAATAATAATAATAATAATAATAATAAATAAGCCACCGACATAAAATTAAACATGATCACACAAACCTCTACGCAATTGAGGGCGATTACTCCTGAATCCAGAATCCATAATTCAATGATGATCGAATTCGATGATTAAAATTACAATTAGGATCTAAATTACCGCTAATTGTTGGTGATGAGGAAGAAGAAGAATAAAAATCAAATGCTGTATTATCAAAATTAGAAAGACAAGGAGGCAATTGAGGAGAATAATGAAGAAAAAATATCAACAATCGGGTTAAGAAGTGGTTCGAATTCGATGACAGGAAATAGTAACCCAGTTTTCCCAACCAGTTCATGCAGATTCTTTTCCAATTCTACCCTCTTATGGGTTCCAATTCACCAAAAACGGACGACAGGATCGATCGTTCGTTCGCCTGCGAAATTGGACGAAGAAATGAATCGTCGGACGATACCTAATCGGCGATCGGCGATTTCGAAATCTGTAGATAGAGGAGAGAATCGGAAAACAAAACGGGGTTTTAACAAAAGACACAAGACGAGTTGTATTTGGTATAATTGAAATCTAACTTTCGTTTGGTAGAGAATTTATAGAGGCGTTTGGGCCAGCCCATCAAAAAGTCGGTACTCGCGCTTGCGTAGAAAAATCACCTACTCGCTAGATATTGACTGACGCGTTTTATCTACTTTTTGGGTTTTCTTTAAATGGGAGTACGGTCATGCTTTTATTGCAGGGTGTTGCGGATTGGACGCGACAACTGCGTTTGGTTGGCGATGAAAAGTGAAAGGGTGATAGAGAGTGGAGGAAAAAGAAGGCTGAAGAGAGGAGAAGGAACTGTTTGAGCTCAATTTTGTTTAGTTGGCTTGGATGTTGACGTAAAGGAAAACATAACGTGTGAATTATTATTATTTAATTATAAAATATATTACGAGGACACGTGTTTTTAAAAATAAATATTTAATTCAATTTCTTAATTTTTTTTATTTAGCATGTGTTTAGATAAAAGAAAATAGGTGAGAAAAAAAATAAAAAACCAAGCAAAACAATGAGGTAATGTGTTTCATTGTTTGGGATGAGGAAAGATAGAGAAAATAAAATAATTTTATATTCCTTTTAAAATTTTCTTCTCAAATTATAAAGGGAATAGAAAAAACTATAATAAGAAATCAGTGCAGGGAATTTAATTTTGAAAAAATGACTATTTGGTCCTATCTTTTTCTATAATTTTCAGACTTTTATATTTAACTAGTTTTTTAAAATGGGCGCTGCCTAAATTTGCACTCGTTAATACTACTTGTAATTTATTTTTTATTAATTTTTTACTTATAATATATTTAAAATGTAATAATATTTTAAACTGATGAAATAATTTAGATTAGATTTAAAATTAATGATTTAAATTATTAGAATCGACAAAATTAATTAAAATAAAATAAAATTTTATTCTTTAACAAAATTAATAATTAAATAAAATATTTACTTTAAAATCAATAAACAATACCTTTTTTATATTTTCAAGGGATCTTGTTGTCTTATAAGATTCTATAGGATTAATTTTAAGCATTAATAATTTGATGCTCCATTCCCTTTGCCCTACTTTAAGAGTATCGACTGAATCATCATGTACAATTTTTGAAACAAAAAATTAAAATAGTTTAGCTTGTTGCATCAATAAAAATAAAAATATTGAATAATTTGTGATACAAGACAAATGTATCTATCTATAATATATATAAAAATACGAATGAGGGGGAATATTGGGTTCCTAAAATACACATGTTAAGCTTATGAATTGACAAAATATCATTATTAATCATATTTTAATTATAATATCAATATTATTTTTATTATATATTAATATTATAAATTTAATATCATTCTAATTAGAAATTTATCCTATCATACCACTATATATATTTTAGTTTTTAATTGCTTTTGACTATCAAGAATTTGTTGCTTTTGACTATAAGGAATTGTTACATTAAGCTTTTGCTAATTTGAAACTATCTATTGAGTTTGCAATCATGTCTTCTTCTTGCGGTAAATATAACATTAACTCTCTCTCTCTATTTACAAATTAATAGAATAGTTTTTGTTTATAATTCTTATAATTTAGATTTATAGATTTATAGATTAACTGTAATTATTTAGTAATCATGAATAATTACGAACTTACAAACTTTTCCCCTGAATAATATTATCATAAAATATCTTAAAGAGATGGATCCACTAATTAGAAAATTTTTATTTATTTATCGATTAAAATTGTATAATAATTTTTAATTAGATTTATTATATTAGTTTCTCAATCATATTATTTTTATTAATTAACGAATCTTGTTTCATTTTAATTAGATTTATTATATTAGTTTCTCAATCATATTATTTTTATTAATTAACGAATCTTGTTTCATTATTTTTCCATGGCTAAGAGTTGATGAAGGTTCTACAAACGTATTAGCAACGGAATTTTTCCGTTTCTAAAGTTATAACATAGAATATTTTTCATCCGTCGCTGGGAGTTGGTTCTACAAACAGGTTAGCAACGAAAGTTTAATCTGTTGCTAAAATTATAACCAAAATTCAGAACCTGTTTTCGGTGCATATCTCTTCTGGCCACATCATTTAGTATACTCGCACTTCCTTTTTTCTTTTCTTCTTCCCTTTTATTTTACATTTTATTAATAAAATTTAAAATTTTATTTGAATTGTAAGATTAATATTATTGTAAGATTAATATTTGTTAAGATAACCATTTTTATTTTTTAATTTTTTAAGTTTCAAGTATTTTTGATGGAAGCAAAAATTAGCCATGATAGCCATGAGAATTTCAATATTCAAATTATCTCATTCATACTTTTATCCTATTTTTTGCTATTGTTATATCGAAAATTTCTCACTTTATTATTATTAATGGCTGAGGTACTAATTTTAACTTTTGATTTTGTTTTTTACTTTGGTGTACTGTAAAAAAAAATTGAATTTGATTACCAATAGTATATGTATTTATTTTTATATATGGCAAGTGATAGAGATATACTATTAACCATGCATATGTAATAGTATAGCTATGAATGATTTTCTATTGACAATTATTTCTTTGTATTTAATTGGAAATATTTAATTATGGAAACATAGCTTAAAAAAGAAATACACAACCAATTCTGATACCGGATTCCAATGAATCTGAGGTTTGGATGCAAATTGATTCAAAGAATGTATTTATCTATCTTTAGTAATGACTGTTAAACATATTCTCTAAGACATTAGAAATAATGTTTATTGTTCTTAATCTTGATTTATTTTAATATGAGCAAACATTGATTGTCTTATGCTTTGATTCATTAAAGGATGAGTTTCATTATTGGAATAATATTCTCGGTGAATTGGGCAAAGCTTTTTGTGTTTGTGAAATATTAATTAATGATAGAATCAATGTCTCGGTTTAGAGATTGATGATGCACTTTAAGTAAGCTTATAAGGTTTCATAGTGTAAACCCTGCAGGTGGATTTTGAATCCGACACATGAAATAATCTCAGAAACATAAAGTTATATTGTGATTTAAATAAATTGTCAGTAAGTTATTTAAATGACAGCATCTGTAATCTTAACATGGGGAACATTATTTTATTATGTTGTGGAAGTTGTGGAATTGTAAAATAAATAGGAGTTTCAGTCATGAGTTTTTTAGTGGAAATAATGTGGAATAATTCATGATTAATTATAATAAGAATATGTTGGTCTACATAGGTTATTATTATAATTAGTAGCCTGATTTATTTTATTCCTGAGGTCCCTGTAGTGCCCTAATTATTTGGAAAGTTAAGGGTGTATTAAATAATAGATAAATTATTCAGTTTTAAAATAATTGATAATTATTTTAATTAAATAATTTTTTATTTAATTTATTTTATATTAAAAAAAAATATCTTTCTATCGAAGAGAGTTTTTTTTAATATAAGATTTGAAAACCCTAAGAATAGAGAGACGCACGTTATTCTATTCTCTGCCACTCAGAGAGATAGTTAGGGATTAGTATTATTGTCCTTTTTTTAAATAAAATATATTAGGAGGTTGCGAAAAACCTCTAAACACAGAAGGAGGACCACCGAGGGCAGAAGCCGCGACAGAATCAAATTATTAATTTCAGGGCTATATCTCTGCTACTCGGCAGAGGAGTTCCACACAGAGAGAATACGTTTAGTAGGATTTTACTGTAGATAAGATCGTAGTGGATGCTTCCAAGAATCTCCTGGAAACAGAAGACCGTGATGAGTGGTAGGACAACATATTCTTCTTATACAGATTCAGCTACTTCAAGAGGCTAATTTTATTGATTTGTTCGATAATGTTTTTTTAAGTTGTCCTCATGATGGTTTCTGACAGCAGGGTTGATTTTCCGCTTTAAATAAATAACCCGCCTCCATTCAATTGGTATCGCACAGCTGAACCAATAACGTAACACTGTTATATGATGTGTGGCTATTTTTGATCATGTTTCATCTGTTGTTATCTATAAAATCTTCGATCTATTGACTTGTTTGAATTGGATAACATCATGGTTATTACAAAGAGTTTTGCTCAAGTTTGTTCTTTGAAAGGACAGCAGCACAAGAAGTGTTTACAAAAGTTAATCGAATACGAAATCGTCTTGGTCCATTTTTTGAACTATGTAGTTTTACTTTTAAGTGTGGAGCAATTAATATTAAATTATTATTTTATATATATATCAGCATAATATTAATATACTCATATTTTTAATTGTACGCTTCTCATATACTCATATAATTTTACATATGTAGTTACGGGAATTATTCACATATTATTAAACTACCCTACTGGGGACTAATGAGTTATTTATTTACACTTATGAACCTTATAAGTTACTTAAAAGGTGGCATCAATCAATTATCTCTAAATCAGATGAACTAATATAGTGATTTCATATAATCTAATTTATATAATATTTTGGGTTTTTTTGTTCTCAGATAGCACACAACAAGGTAGAGAGGGCCATTTACGCACCAAAAGACGTACATAAACAACAGGGAAGAAAAAAACAATAGAAAAAGTATCAGTAAATGGCACGGTATGAGAGAAAAGAGGCTGCAGGCGGCAGGCTCAGTTGGCTCTATCGTGAATGAAGACTAAGCATGTACATAGCTTGCCTAAAATCAATACCGAGGCTCACTGAGTAGCCACTATATATTCCTAAATTTTTAAGATTTTTATTAGACTTTCATATTAAATTTTTGACCACTCCTGATTCTATTATAATTAGTCTATTTATTTTTAAATGCCTGAATCTTTCTTGATAGAATTAATTATTAATTTTAACACCACCTGTGTATCTTTAAATTTTTTTATCATCTAATTGGTTCTGCTACCAGAAAGGTATAAGATTATTCCAGTTTGTTGTTGTTGCCCCTGAAAAGCTTAGTATCTTAAATTTATAAAGATAGACCTCTTTTGATTGTATATACATGGTTTTATGTATAAAATCTGATCCTAGACTATTCCGGTTTCTTCTTGTCAATATTTATGTCGCCACATAACGTTTTTCATAGTTTTTACAA